AGATTACAGCTGCAGAATGAAAAGTGATTGCAGGCACTAGGCCCACATCCCCCCACCTAGTAACTGCATGGGACAGAAGGGTGAAAAGGAGACAGTAAGGTCAGAGAAGGTGTGCCTGTGAGTTTTGGAAACATGAACCCCAGCTGGCTGTCCAGATCTGAACATTTTCATCTATGACATTTCTAGGTTTTGAAAGACCATGACTTTCTTGTTGGTAACAGTTTTAGCTGGGCAGATGTTCATCTTCTTGAAGCCATTTTAATGGTAGAAGAGAAGAAGTCAGATGTGCTCTCAGGCTTTCCTCAGTTACAGGTACCTTGCACTAACAATATGCTCATATGTCTGTAAATGTGATAAATGATATTTCAAAGTATGTTATGTGTGGATAATTCCATGAAACATTTGTCACCTTCTCATTGTAGTCTCATTCTTCTTGCTTTACGAAGAGCCTTGTAATATATTTCATCTAGAGAATCTGTTATTTTCTAGAGTAAACCCTGTACACATCTGAAGAAATGCACCCTCCATTTTTTTCCTCTCCTCACCAGTTCTGTGATACCTTTAAGCAGAAGATATTTTCTGGATCATAAGAACTGATTTGAGTAATATACACATCAGAAATCACAGATAACTGTTTCCACTTTATCCCAAGAGGGCTGATTTATTACTGTGGAACATAACAGAGTTGACGTGAGGGGGAGTAAAATCTATCCACTGCTAGAACTGTATTCCCTGTCTAGTCTCCATGTACCACTTGTTAAAGGATGTTACACAAATCAGTAAAATTTTCTTTTCTTGTGTTACTTTCTGTTCTTTAAATACGACATACTTACTGTTTGCCTTTTAGGCATTTAAAGCAAGGATAAGCAGCATCCCCACAATCAAGAAATTCCTACAGCCAGGAAGCCAGAGGAAACCTGTTCCTGATGATAAATACGTGGAGACTGTGAGAAGAGTTCTGCGCATGTACTATGATGTGAAAGCGAATTAGTGTGCGGGGCCAAGCCACAGCTGTGCTGGGGGTCAGAGAGCGGCCAGGCCGCACACAGGCAGTTACACTGCGCAGGAAGGCAAAGGGGTGTTCAAGAGGCCTTTCCATGGGCAGTGTGTAGTGCTCTCATACAAAATACAGTAGGCAGGTATCTTTTATAACACTTTAATACTAGCCTGCTTTTTCCTTCCTTCATCCTGAGATTTTTTCTGCTAATTTTAAGCAAGTGAAATGGCAGCAAGCATGGTGTGTGTAATAGTGAAGAAGAGAAAAATGTGAGCTGACAGTGTGACTGACAGTTTCAGCATGTTCTGCTGGTTCTGAGGGCTTCTGAGATCCAGATCAGATTTTTATATCATGATTGCTTCCAATTTATGCCTTTATTGTTTTTAATATCACTGTCAGCAAATGAAACAAGTGTTTTTTAAAGAAGGTAGGAGGGAGGTGTTTCTCTTGCCAGTTCTACTGGACATCAATGCCTTGCCTGTGCCTTGTGCCTTTATAATTAGGCTGCAATTTTATTACTGACTTAGGAAATAAATGTACTGCCAAATGGTATTTTTGTTTAACCACTGTATCTAGAGGATTTGTTCTAATCAAATAAACTTTTTACATGGTCACATTGTCCTGTTGTCTCATGAATGAAAGTTGGGGCTTGCAAACATAATTTTTACATTTCTTGGAGGATAAATTCTCTATATTTTATATGAAGGGGGTCCTTGTTAACACATATGCCTCATGCAAAGGTGTATTTTGTTTGTGTTTATAAACAAAAGAATGGAGATGTAAAGGAGAGGTAGTAAACCATCACACAAACCTGATATAGTTCCTATCTAAGGCCTAGTACCAGCCAAACTCAAAACGTTGTTTATTTTCCTCTTTTTTTTTTAAGTCTGTGGTTTCGAGATTAAAGTGGTTTTAATCACTTCAATAAATGGCACTTATGTCTTGAAAAGCTGCTCTGCATGATGTTATCTTGGGGTTTTGTATCTGTTATTTATAGTTCTATATTAATGACATAACTTACATAAAAAGACTTGTGCTCAATCCTGAATGGCACTGTTTTATTCCTGTGTTAGCTATGGGTTGAGAAATAAGATCCTGCTTGATATTGGAATGCAGTGAGCACCTCATCTGATATTTGATGGACAAGTTGCCCATGTCAAAGCTCATCAGTCTCCTCAGCTTCAGTGTGACTGAAGTTTTCAGCACTACAAACACTTTTTCCTCATTGCCAGGTATACAAAGTTTGTACTGATCCAGAGTATCTTATCAGTCACCTGCCTTCCTAATGTCAATTGCAATTGCAGTTTAGTCCTTGGTTTAATCTCAGATTAGTTTAATACGAAAGTTTGGAAAACCCTGTAGTTGTTGATCTTAATTCCTTTGCTAAGTGAAATTTTTTTTCAGAATATGAGGAAAGTTGTGGTATAATGCTGTTCAAAAGTTCCACAAGCAAAGATGCAGAAGCTGTATGAGGTGATGCTACCAGTACTTGTTGGTGATAAGCCTAATAGCTGATGGTCATACCTTTTCAGTAAAGGTATGGCACAGCAGCAATGCATGTGAGCAGAAGATCAATTGGTACTGAAGCCTTGTCATCAGCTCTGTATGTGTTTGGGACTGGGTTAACTTCAGCCTAGCTCAAGAGTGGTTGTGTGGACTGAATGTGATTTACACTGCATTTAGTACACTCCTGGAGCACATTTTTCAGTTTAATTTCATCCAGAAAGAATCCAGATGGTACAGTCCAAGATCACACTGTGATGGGAGCCAAAGCACTGTTTAAGAAATTCATTTTAAAAACATATTCCTGTTCCAGACCACTAAGGTAGACATACCCTGTAATGCTCCAGGTCTGGTCCAACTGATGGGTCATTTCCTGATATTTCAGTAAATTGTTGATGAGAACTTCTATTGTGTTATTTTTTATTTATCTTCTTGATTTGGATTGAAATGAAGACACCTAAAAGTGTTTATATATGAGCTAGCGTGTACTTCTCCATTATAATATCTACAGCCATTTGTGCTTATGCTATGATGGCAGGGTTACATGGTGTGATGCAGTGGTGGGGGTTAACCCTGTCTGAGAATGTAGCACTTCTTATTTTAATATTCCAAAACCGGTTTGTCAGTTTAGTTTCTACCCTGTACAGAGGGACAGGTCTACAGACTGTAATTGTGATATTCCAAATTCTGGGCAAACTAGGGACAAAATCAGCTTAGATCTAAGTCTTTTGTAAAAGATGCCCATACTGAGCATCCTTGCGTCCTGGTACAGCACTTTAGAAGTAATTATTTAAGTTGTTAGCTGATTTCAGTTATGCTTTCAGGACACATCAGAGCACTTCAGTTCTGTTACCACCCTTCAAGACAGTAATAAGCAAGAAAAATATACAGACACTTGTTGCTGTTTCTCCTATGTCTTTCGATGTTCCTGGCTCAATAATTCCTGGGTCAAAATTAGTTAAGAATGCATGATAACCTCAGGAATTGTTTTAACTGTCACAAAGACTTAGGCATTAGACAGGCAGTTTTGATGTATTTTCCAAGAAGGACTTGGGTTTGTTCTCAACCCTTGCTCAGGTAAGACATATTTATGTACTGTGGTAGTTTAGATCAGCCTGCAGCATCGTTCTGATAGTCAGGCAAGTTATGCTTAGTGGGGGTAAAGGTTGTGATCCTACACAACCTGTTTTGGTTTAAAACACACTCTGTCTATGGAATTGCAAGTTCATTTCAAGTTAAAACACTGAGATAATTTTTATTGATTTAATAGTGAGTACAGGATATAGGCTTTAGTACAAGTTATGGTTTCTGATGACTGTATGGGATCTTTATAGATTATTCTGCATTATGTTTGCTTATATTTTGGTAGGTTGCAATTAATTCCAATGGAACTCTACTATCTGAGCACCTCTGAAGGTTCAAAAGAAGTATCAGTTATTCATAGGGATTTTGCAGGTCTCCTTCATGCTTCTTGTGTCTCTTCTTCTCACCTGAATATAGCAATACTAACAAAAGAAAGAAAGATGCCAAATTCAGGGAAAATTAGACAGATTGACTGACTGGAGGGCTCCTAACACTGCTTACAGCAGGCATTTGACAGGTGTTCCTATGCTTACTGTCACTTGCCAATTGCCACCATAAGCAAAATAGACTTGATCTGGGGAAAATTAATTCATTACCAATTAATATAGTTGGATGATGAGAAACAAAGACTTGAACCCCTTCCTCCCACTCCTTCCCAGACTTCTTCCCTCCTTTGTTACCAACTCTACCTCCCTACTTCCATCTCCTTTTGATGTTCACAGGGCTGTTTTTCCCTCACACTGTCGTGCAGTGTTTTCTCCCATCTTAAGCACATTTTCCCGAGGTGCTCCCACCTTGGCTGTGGGCTCAGCCCTGCCCTGTGGTGGGTGGGTTGGAGCCAGGTGGAATCACCAGTGTCTGGCACTGAGCTCCCTCACAGAGCCTTGCTGCAGCCCCTGGGGTGCCAACACCCCGTACATCAGTGTCTGGTTTTATGTGGTACAAATAAGCCTGTAAGTCTCTCAGCGGGTTTCCAAATGTGTCGTGGGGATCACTGGGAGCTGCTGGTGTCCTTGGAGCTACTCATGTGTGATGGTCACAGCTTTGAGGTCCAGGAGGTGGAAGTTCATGTTCCAGAGGAGGTATGTAGGAGCTGAACACCTGGTCTCTGTCTGGGCACTGCTGGTGCAGAGGAGTTCTCGGCAGGCTGCACTCGGAACACGAAATTCGGAGTTGCATTAAATCTCGGTCTTGCTCCTAGGAAAAACTCTTCTATTTGCTGCGGGGAAAATTTTCATTCGTAGGCAACTCCTCGGCGTGTTCCCGGGCTCCATTTCAACACCGCAGGAGCTGTGGGCATAGAATTAGCCTGACCTTACTTTTCCTGCCCCCAGGTGGGGCTCTGCTCTTTCGGCAAGTGCCCTCCGTGGGCACTGGCGGGATGGAGATGGTGCAGCCTGGAGCAATTCTCAGCCATACAGCCCGAAAAATACCACCTGCGTGGGAAGGACCTGAAGGACCTGAAGCCTGGTAAAGTAACTTCAATCCTCTAAGCACCAGATGCCCACTTTTTAACTGTGACTACTTTTGTAGTCAACAGAAATAAATAATAGCACCAGATGGCAATTTATCTGGAAGGCATGTTTAACCTCTCAGCTTCTGACTGGAAGCGCATCTGCAAGCAACCTCAGAGTGCAGGGGAGAAAGGCATATATATACATATCACCAGCAGCCCCTTCCAGGCTTTGACCTGTGAAACTTTCCTTGTTGCCATCCCTTGGAATTTCTTGTCCTGCAGCCTGTGCCTATTGTCTCTCCTACTTCCACTATGGTCCTCTGAGGAAAGCCTGGTCCTGGCTCCTCTGTAACTATGTTTTAGGTAGGTGAAGACAGCAATTAGATCCATGGCACTTCACTATTTCACATTTCTATGAAAGGGCTAAACCAAAAAATAGCACATTTCACAGAAGATAAAAGAGGAATTGACTATAGGGAGGAAAGTTGAAATTCAGTGAACGGAATCAATATGCTGTGAATGAATAAACAGGATGCATTTCATCTTGTTAAATGCAGTTTGCCTAAATTCCCACTGATGTGAGAAGCAGAAACTCAGAAGAGAAGAAACTGAAGGACATGGTGCATATTAGCCATATACCAGCTCCCAGAATGGCACTGGCATCCAAAAAAGCTAATGTGACCTTGGTGTATAGTGAAAATTTCAAATTTTCATTGTTGTAACTCTATGTCCAGCTGTAATATTTACCCATGAGCTACCTAGCTATAGGCATCACTTAATCCTAATGCAGAACTGGGGACAACTTTTTAGTTATGTTGCAGATTTGTTTATATTGCTTGCCCTATAACTACAACTTTCCATTTCAGATCAGTTTCTACACTGCAGCAGAACTATTTAATCTCACATCTGGAAACATCATCCAGGAGAAGATGGAATGGAATGTTATGTTTTCTGGGAAGAGAAAAAGAGCTTGACTTCACCCTAGTGCAGGAAGATTAAATTCTGAAAGGCAGATTATCCCACTACTAATCATTGTATGGTTTTATACCTTGCCTTGTAAGCTTGTACCATCTGATTTGCACATACTTTTCTCTGAGGCTGTACCATCTACTTCTAGGAGAGTGCCTTCTTCCTTGTCATCAGCCCTGAGCCACCTTCAGATGAAGCTGATTTAACAGGCTTTTGTTGGCTTATGATTAGAACTTTTTCCACCCCTATTCTTAGTAGTTGCATTGTGTTCAATCTTAGGCTTTTAAAGCAAGAGTAAACAACATTGCCACAAATAAGAAATTCCTCCAGTTTGTCAGCTAACAAAGCAATGATGAATCCAGATGAACAAGCTGTAGCATTAACAGATTTTTTTACCATGAAATGAAGCCAGGTTCCACCTGCTGTCATTTTCAACCCCTTTTCTGACTTCAACCTTGATTTTTGTTCTTCTAGGTTTTTACTATCTTGCACATGCAACAGGAACAAATGAGTCTCATGCTGAAAACATCATTAGAGAAGAAGCCAAGTTACATTTCACAAACTGTTTTACATTATCTACAAGAAAGGTAAATGCACAGTTAGATCATTACTTATAAATGTCATTAAAGCCCAATCGTTTTATAATTTTGAACATGCTACCAAACAGTGAATAAAGAGCATCTTAAAGGTGGGATAATTCTAGGCTATATAAATACTGTGTCACTAATCTTGGTTCATTGACTCTTTTTTATGCTGACAGGTCTGTGTAAGAGGGTTTAGGGGAAGGAGAGAATATTTGTTTTGAAGATATATTAATACTGAAATCTGTATTAGGGTTATGGGGTCTTTTGAAAATTCTGATGAACTCCAGGGAAAAAAAACTTCAGTGAAAACAAGTGTTTTATAGGAGAAGAAATAGACTTGTGGTCAATAAAACCTATTTCTCTTGTCTGAGAAGTATAAATAAATCTGGTTTTATTTTAAAAGTACCAGAACAAGCCAAAAAAAAAAGTTTACAGGATGAGAGCTGATTTTAAATTTGTTCAAGTGGTCAATATTTATAATTATTTTATTGTAAAAAGTATTTTTAATTGGAAAAAAACCAAATTGTTGTCTAGCTTTATAATTGGTCAACAGCAGACAAAAATAGAATTGAAATTTCTGCTTTACTTCTTTATATCTTCTTTTGAAAATAAAAAGATTCTTTAAACCTGAGTTTAGATTAGTAGTAGTTTTAGTTGTAACAATGCACATAAACTGAGAGTCTTAGAAAGTTTCCCAGAACATACCAGAGACCAGAGGAAACATACACAAGTTTTGATCAAAATATGAAGTCATTATAATTTTTTAAAATATTAATTATATTTAATATAATAATAATATTTAATTATAATTACTTAATTATTAAGCTATTTAAGATAAATATTTCACAATGAAATTTGTACTACTGAAGTTATTTTTCAATTGGCTTTGAGACCTTGATCTTGCCTATCTTGTGACTAGATAAATCAGCCCTTTGACCATACCGAGATACTTAGATCAATAAACACTAAACAATCCAAATTGCAACATTCTGTAAACCAGCTCTCCGTTTAACCTCCCCTCACCAGCAGCACAATGGGTGTAAATCAGACTTTTCTGTGCCAGTGGTCTGGCTGCGTGCCAAAGAGCTTACAGAAACAGTCTTGGTTAACCTTGTCTTTGGGCAGCCAGTAAAGCTTCCCAAACAGAACCAGTGCACTCACTGAAAGTTTGCAGCAAGTCCAAGCTTAAGTGATGCATGACTTGTTTTAACTATTCACATGGACTCTAATTACTTTTATCACAGTGGTGGCGTGCTTCAGTTTAGGAGTGCAATAAGCAGCATGGGGAGAATCCTCCTACCTTCCTGTGTTTAATTCTTTAGTGGCAGTTAGTGATGTATCCTGTGCTTACCTCTGAGAGGATGCTGTATTCAGGCATGGTCCCCCAAGCCAGATGCTTAGTGGTTTGTGAGGGTTGCACGTAGGCAAATTTCGAGAAGACTTTGAACTGGTCTCATCTACAGCACAAGGAAGTGTGTCCACAGAGCACAGTGGGAACCTGACATGCCAGGGCATGGTATACACGTTATTTAAAATATGCCTGTGCCCAACCCCAGATCATTTAAGTGGCACCTGGGCCCCATGGCCGCTGCCTGAAAACTCATGGGTGTGGCTTAACAAAGCATGTATAAAAGAAACTTATTTTCTTTTCTTCTCTAAAGGTTCAGAACAGCTATTCAAGTTACAGATGGCAGTAACCTCATTGATATGATACCTTCAGATGTCAAAGGAGCTTTCTAATTACATTATGAAAGGCTGTGCTGGAAGCAAAATAAAAACAAGGTGGAAAGTCCTTCTGTCAAACAGGAATGTGTAGAAGGGAACAATAGTCAAAGATGGGTGTGGACATGTTCAGCAAATCCAAAAAGCGTCAGAATGCTTTTGCTTGACCACTCATCCCTGAACCTCAAATCAAGGACCTCTTCCTCCCATTCTTCTTTGCCGTCAAGCCTTTTGCTGCCATTGTCAGCATCTGAGACTGCAGAGGGGGCCAAGTGACAACAGTCACACACATGCTCTGCTGTGGTCGCTGTTCCTGAACCAGCTCTTTCACTCAGGTGCTGATACCAAAGACCTCAAAAGCAGGAATAGATTAATCTTGATTTAATACTGCCATCACAGACAGGTGTGAACAAATGCTCCTTTCTTAATCAGCTATACCTGTATGTGCCCCATTCCTACTTTAGCCCCATCTGCATTGCTGGTTTAGGCATATAGGGACCACTGGCTGGCACTGCTTCCAGCTAGTGTGTTATGGCATGCATTGACATCACACTCAGACCTTCCAAAATAGGATGCTGTACCCATGCTGCCTGCTAGAAACTGTTTTGGGCATCTGCTGGACTTTTGAACCATACTTGGGAATTTTGTGTGGGGTAACCTGGTGGTAACTGGGTTTGACATAGAAGATACAGAAGCATGCATTTAATGGTATGCTTTATTCATTAAATTATGAACTTGAGAGGGAGTTAAAATTAGGCAAAGTGTAAAGAAGTATCATACAGAGGTTTTTTACTGACACCATCAACCTCTGAAGCACATAAATTACAAATTTGCAAGAAGCCTCTATTGGAAGTGCATCCTCTAGAAGAGACTGCCAGCAATTACCAGGCAGAGAAACCATAATGAAACTCCAGCTATGAAGAAAAAGAAAGTAGCAGCTTTGGAGGGATTTCCCCAAGATAGTTACCTAGAGACTTTTGTCCTGACATTCCTCATTGTGAGATGCTGTGGCTTTAGACAGATAAATACAATTTTGATAACAGTGTGGGTTCTGGGAACAGATCTTCAGATTAGCTGTACTGATGTCTGCTGCAGGGTTGTAAAGTGATGCCCAGTATCACATGTGGGTCTATGCTAGAGGAGAGACCCTGATCTTTGGCACCCAAATCCCATTTCCATCTGCTCTGCCACCCTTGTGTCTGTTTGCATCCACTTTCAGTTTTGGTATTTTCACCTGAAATATACATAGAAGAGCTGAAACAGTTACTTCTCATGGAAACAGGGTAAGAAAATCATAGTTTATTTCATCTCTGAGTACTAGCCATGTGCATGCAATTTCCAAAATTAATGCTATTGCCTTAAGACATAGGGTGAGGTTGTGACAAAAATGGCTTTTATCAAGTTATCACTAAGTAAGCTTGATACTATATTCAAAGTAATGGAACACTATTATCCCATACTTTGGGTAACTTTTCTGTGCCATACAGCACTGAAAGTAAAAAACCAGGATTACTGCTAAGTAGTGAAACAAACCTAGAAACTTCAGTGGTTTGTCTTCAAATACCCTAAATATAACCCAGAAAAATCTATAATTTTCTCAGTGTTTCAACATGTCTTGCTCTTGTATTTGGGTAAAATGCTGCCAAAATTCCAAGAGAGCAGTTCAAACAGACAGCTACCATAGCAACTATGAGGTTACCCTCATGGTCTAGTCAAATCATCAAACTGACAGTGTGTGCCTTGGGTGTCAATTTTCAGAGCCATACGCCTTTAAGTTTAAAAGCATTGGGAGTTTTTCTCTCTAATTGGGTATGGCCGGAAACTCCCCTGGACTGCAAAGTTTAAACAGCCCTGGGGAACCTGCCTGTGCTGGGTGGAGACTGAGTTAGGGCCAGAAGGTAAGTACTGACTTAGAAATTCCTTTTTCTTAAAGCATTTGAGTGATTATTTTAAGTGAAGCTACTTCCAAATTTGCTGGGGTAATGTAAATTTTCTGCTCTCTTTAGTTTGTGTGCCAGATAGACTAAGCATGGCTTGATAGTTACTCACCAGCTGAAAGCTGTAGGAGAGAGAATACCAGAGAAAGACATGTTTTAACCAGGAAATGAATCCTACAGTGCAGTCCAGAGCTGAGCAAGGCAGCCATGAAACTGCTGATGGGACAAAGTGTGGGAGGGTGAAAGTGTGCAGGAGACTGTGTTGGTCTCTTCTGGGTTTGAGCAGGAAAGATGGCCCACTGGACTTTGGTCCCGTCTCCAGGGCTAAAGGGCACTTCATGCTGAATGCAGGTACTGCTGTTTCTGGAAGGACATGCCCTCTTAAATTGTTCTTGCACGCCTGAGATGCATGCCCAGAGAAATTCAGGACAGGTATGTTTTTAAGGCTCACTAGGAAATAGGATGGAAAGACAGAGTTTATACAAAAACAATAAAAACATTTGTATATAGTCAAATTTTTTGTTGAAGTCTTTTCTAGATATTAGGGTAGCGCGTACAAAATGCAGTTACTTATTTGGCTGCAGCATAAATTCCTGTCATGAACCAATTCTTCAGCAGTGTCTGTGCTAGTGCAGTAGTCCCAAAATGCCCTGTATTGTGATGCATTTTTACTGTGAGAATCAGGTATTGCTTAGGTAAAATAGGAAGGTTTTCTGCATCTGTTCTCCACATTCCCTGGGAAACTTTGATTGGTTCTGTCTTTTGCAAGAGTCAATTTCTTCAGCAGGAGTAGTCAGACATATCTTTTCAGGGGCAAACAACACCAGCTCAGACCACTGGTCTGCTTGTAAGACAAGTATTTCATACGGCTGTGGTGTTGTATCTTTAGCAGCAATATCTCTTAGACCATTTTCTAGATCTTCTTTTATCCTTCTGCTGGCATGGTCTGGCTGGTGAATGATAGTAAGTTTCTCTGGCAATTTTATAGCTTTTAACAGTTGAGTAATTTGTGAAGCATTTGATATTTTATTTCCATCAGAAGTTATAAACCCACACAGCGTTTATAACTGCCCAGTAGCATGGCATACTCCAAATGCACATTGAGAATCAGCATAAACATTTAGTCTTTTCTTTGTACAGCTAATAGACATTTGTTAATGCAAATAATTCAGCTGTTTGTGCACTCAGCCTCAGACTGAGCAGTGAAGCCTCCACTGCTTCATTCACAGCAGTTATTCAATAACCCAGTTGCTACTCAGATAATATGACCATCCACCAACAGTTCCAGATTAGGATTTAGAAACAACACATCTGTTAAATCAGCTTGAGCATTTTATGCTTCATGGGTTGTTACTACACAATTGTGATGTGCAGTTCCTTCCTCAGGTGAAAGGAGTAAGAGTGGCAAGGTTCAACGTTAGTTACCATCCCTGAGGCTATTCCTTACCCTTCTTGTGCATAGTCTGGTAGTCTATGAAAATTGCAGCTTGCTTCAACAGCTTGAATGTTTTTACCTTGTTAGTTGTCCATTGAATGGTTCTCCATCATCTTGGATAATAATTGGTATCAGGGGTTTTGCTATTTGCTTGAAAGATTTATCTGGGGTGGCAGAATCCTACAGCTCCTAAAAAGCGTTTGTTTTTAGTGGCTGGTTTTGGAAGAGTTTGAATGATTTTAATATGGTTTTCAGATAAACGCTACTCCTCTTGCTGAAGAATTTAGCAGATAACCCAGATAATTCTACCTTTCTCTTATAAATGTTGTAACTTAAGTGGAGACACCCTTTCCAGCTGAGACGAACAGTAAGGAATGGGTGACAGCTAAACAAGATTGCTTCGTTATTAATAAAGCATCAACATACTCTTATCAAAAATGGATCAACTTTTTTAAACACTTCATCCTGGAAGTCTTTTACTAAAACTAGAAAAATAGTGAAGGTCTGAGTGAAGTCCTGAGGGAGCCTTGGCTATGTCAGCTCAACACTCCCCCAGATGCAAAAAGGCATCGAGAGTCTGGATGAATAGGTTTGCTGATTTAAAGTAGAAAAAGTTGCATGGTTTCCAGTAAGTCAAGGGTTGTATCTGCTGACCTTCAGAAAATCTCAAGAGTCAGTGGTCACATAGAAATGGGCAACTAAACCGAGCTCTCAGGCAATACTCTGGTCCAGACCCACGAACTGAAAGTAGCTGCCTGTATGTGAGCTACCAGTGTCAGGTCCCTGTACAGTCAATGGAGATACATTCAGTCGATCTAAGGATTAAGGAGACTTTTAACCAAAAAACAAGGGGTTTTTTCCTGTGTTGGAAGCTCAAGACAACTAAAATCCACTCGGAGCTGACAGAGTTACTCTTAATTAAAAAAGAAAAAATAATCTGATGACAAGTTTTAATTCTCCATTTGTCTTTGCTCTTCTCATATAATTTAAAACCCCATAGAATTTCTTGTTCATGTAAAATGATACATAAAGCCTTTTACTCCCTGCACTTTTGTTCTGCAAACAATAGGTAATTTTTCCAAGACGTTTAAGTTTCATATGCTTGATATTGCAGTCATTGGCTTTTTTAGTTAAAATAAAAGTTTTATTTACTCTTAAGTTTCTGCACATTACAAGTTGGGGCAATTTGTGTTGAAGTGATATGGATGCAACATATCTGAGAAGTATGATAATGAAAGAGGCATTAGTTAGTGGTTGTGAACTATGTAGATAAGCTGCCCTACAGTGAAAGCTTGTCACACAACGTGCAGAAATTAATAAAACACTGTCCTAGAGGCAACTGTAATTAGAAACAGCTATTGACACTTTAAAACTGAACATTATGCTTTTTTCCTTAAAGTGTATTTGGATTATATTTTCTAAATTACCCAAAATATCCCTAGTTATTCTAGTAACATGACTCTGTTCTACTGAAATTGCTCAAGGGAGAACTCTTGATCTTATTCTTTAAAATCAAGTATTGGCAAAATATGTTCCAAATGTACTTTATTTTAAGTACACTTACAAAGCACTATGACTTGAAGAAAACATAAACTAGAGTGTACCGAGCTCAATTCAAATGAGAAATGTCAAGTGGATGCAAAGCGTGGCAGATGTAATGTTGCAGCTTTGGCTTTTAGCTCTGAGAAAACTGGGGTCATCTGTAAAATTAGGGCCATTAGGACATGATTAGGATGTCTATTTTAATGGGTTTTTTTCTTCCAATCATTAGATTGGATACAAACATCTATGTGAAGGGGACTGCTAGTCCTGTTCTTTTGGTAATTAGGGCAATGAAGCACAGAGAAATGAAGGCCTGAATTTGGAAATACTTATACTGAAGTATCAGCTCAGATAGTCCAGCTGATTGTCCCTACATATGAAACAGCTCAATACAAGCACACTGTCTCTGCTGCTCACTCTGAGAGAGGTGATGCTGCAGCAAGTGTCAGACAGCCTGCATGTGCCTGTTCCCTGGGCATGCAGGTTCCCCAAGCCCTGGGGAATACTTTTGGGAGCATCTGAAGCCAGTGCTTCCAGATTTGGCTTTGAGGGACACCTCAAGGCTGCCAAAAGCAGCAAGGAGACAGGCTGTAGCTATGCAGGATGGCCAAGGAAGCTCATCCTGTTTCATGGAATAAAGGAAATATTAACAATTCATTTGCCCCTATTTGAGGAAAGAAATGGACTGCAGTTGAAGCTGCAAAATGCATATATGGCTAATAAAGCTAGACAAAGTCCAGCACACCAGTAAAACATGTTTTCCTTGAACTTCTTTTCATCTTTTCAATGAGGACTATGTCAATGAGGGTGAGTAACCTCCCTGAAGATGTGGTAGGATTTTCAGTGCCTTTGTATAATTGTCTTAAAATGCAGCAAGATTTCCCCTGTAGCTAGGGACTTATACCGCTTGTTTAAACATGTCTGTGTTTGCTTATAATCATAACAAACCTCCCTAGTAGCACTGGGGAAGCTTTATAGGTTCACACATCTTTCCTTTCCTAACAGAGGTGGTATGGAGCCATCGGTCCATCTCTCATTTTATGTTTTAAAGCAGATGAAGTTTAAACTTCAATAGGCATAGTGAGAATAAAAGGTGCCCTCTCCCCTCAAAATAATGGTGCTTACACCAGTTTTAAGAGGTACTGTTGTCTGCTTAGCATTTTTTTCAGGGAACCAGGAGTGCAGAAGCATGTCAGGGAAGCCCAGGCTTACCTACTTGAATGGAAGGGGGCGAATGGAGCCCATACGATGGCTGTTGGCGGCAGCCGGCGTGGAGGTGGGTTTGCGTTTGGTACAGTGTTAAAGACTGGTGTTCTCAGCTGGCTTCACTGAGGAACAATTTAACACAGATGTGGAGAATAAACAGCCCCATGAGGGTGGTGAAATTCATTTGGCCAGTGGGACTGCATTTTTGTAACTACTTTGTTTGGTGGTTAATACTTGGGATGCAAACTCAGCTGAGCTTAAAGTTTATTAGGGCTAGTATCAATACTCTTAAGAAATTACTGAAGGGCCTTTAAATAAATCCCCATTTTGACCCATTATGCTTAACCTGATTTTTCTAGCCATGCAAAACCACCTTAACTCAGTCTTATTAATTTGCAGTTACAGTGTGTCTAATAGAAGAGTGTTGTTGACTGGGGTGGGGTTAGAAATATTTAATTTACCTTGTGCTTTCCTTGGCATTGGCTCCAACCTGTCTTGTTCCTGTAGATGCCTGCTCTCTGTTTCTACCTGCATTTAGGTTATTTCTGAATCAGTGCCCTGATGCAGAAGTGGCCAGGCCCTTCTGCTCCCCATCAGCTGTCAGGGTGTGCGTGGGATCCTCAGGACATCTGGGCTCATACAGAGCAGTTGAAGATCTGGCCCATTACGTTTTACTTGACTCTGTGCTCTGTGCATGGTTATGTGCAGTCACTTAGAGAAGAAAAGTGTTCAAATACAGCAGTGTAACACTATTCTCTCTCCTTTTTAGTTTGAAGAGGTTTTTTTGCAAACAAAAGAACAATATGACAAGTTAATCAAAGGTAAGAATCCCAAGACCTGAGTTCTGGTCCCTGAAAATATTTCTCCAATTTAGCTGAATGTGTGGTTTAAAAATAGTTTATTTAAATGAATGCAAACTTCTAAGTGCATACCTTGAGTACTGCAATACTAGTTTTGAATAACCTGTTATTTCCAGTGCCATATAATTCCTATAAGCTAAAATACATCTTAATTATCTATGCTGTTGAACTGTTAGCATGGTTCCTGGCACAATTTTGGTCCATGGCAAATAGCACTTCCTAAGCAATTTCTAGGCATCATTTGGGAGTTGTCTTGGACCAAGGGCCATTTCCAAGATGTCATTCAGAGGTAACCATCATACTCTATAGGCAGAGAGGGTGGAGTAGAGTGAATGTGGCCAGCCAGCTGGCCTGAGCTGTTGTTGAGTTGATGAGTATACATGTACCTCTGTGTTGATTCTGAATGCAGTTAGATAAGCCTCTAAAGGAAAGGCTGACATGGCCCCAAAATCTCCAGGAAAACCAGTTTCTGTTTCTGTAAGCTCTGTGTGAACACCCTAGTGACAGTTCTAAGCAGAATAAGCCTCAGATATGAAGCTTCCCCTAGACAAAAACATGGAGCCAGCGGAGGGACCTGTGGAAAGCCTGACATGGTCAAAGCAGCAAAGACTTCGTGTCAGCCTTGGGAGAGATGAGATCAGTTCCTAAACACCAGTGCATACCCCCAGGCACTGCCCTTGATATCTGGTAAGATGAAATCCAGCAGTGAACCCCACCGCAGCCACCCTGGAAGAGGACCTTGCTGCCAAGGTGGGGAAGGAGTTGGGACTGTGAGGAGCATTACAGGGTGCACGTGCCCCACAGTTTACCTGCTGCCCAAGACACATGAGAGAAACCTCACAGCAGGCTGAGCTTGCCAAGACATACCAGGAGACTCAAAAGAGGACTTGATGGCATTCAGTCTGAGCTCAGAAAGGATTAGCTGTGTTTAAAGAAATTCTGACAGTAGAGCTAAAATGAACAAAAATTAAAAAGTGGTATCAAGTAGATCAGAATTTAATTTGCCAGTCCATTTGGCTGGGACTTGGACAATGTGGGAGGGCAGTGCAGTGTAAAGAAACCAGTTATAGCTCTAAATATGATAGCACAGGTACTAAAAGCCCAAATGAAAGCCCTTCTTAGGATTTAGGACTAGTAATCTAGACAGAGTGATACAATCCTGGATACAGCATCCAAGCTTATTCATATCCAGGGAGAAAAATTAGTCGTGAAAAGGATAGGGAAGTTTTTATAAAGAAGATCAAGCATTTTATATCTATATATTGAGCTTTAGAGGGTGAGAACACAAAGAAAAAAGTGTGGTTTAATATAATGGGTTGAAGAGAGACAAATTAGTCATCCTGATAAAGGGACCTCTGGAATGTTGCCAGTTGTGCAGGACAGGACTCAGCAGAAATAACTCCACATTACTTATCCCTCTAATTTTTTTTTCCTCTTCCTACCAACACGCTTTTTGTCAGGGTATCCTGTGTTTAGATATCACCACATCATTAGACTGGTTCAGGTGTGACTTTGGCCCATACCAGCTGATGATCCTCTAAGCAATGTCCCCACAATATCAGGAAGATGCCTGGGCCAGGGGCTGTCCCTAACAGGCAGCTTGAAGATAGACAGCTCTTTTGGAGGCTGAGTGTTAAATAGCTTTGGCCGGGCAGACCTGTACCCTGAAGGATGACAAGTCTGGTGCAATCTGTGTAGCCACAGGTTGCCCAGGTTGCTACCTGGATCTCAACAAGCTCTGCTGGTTGGTTGCAAATAGTAGGTCTAGGTGACTGGTTTTTTATGTATGCTCTGCAGACTACCTTTGGACAGCACAATGCAACCCCTGAAATTACTGGTAAACTGCTTTTAATCCTGCATATATATATTCTATGCAGTGATTATATGGAGTGGTTCATCCTCACTGCAAAACAAAGGAAGAGAAGCAGTCCACTACTGGTTTTAAGAGGGATTCCTCTTTTCTGTAGATAAGAAATAAACCATGTATTCAGTTCAGTCACATTTGTTGCATCACTTTTTGTCAAGGGCCAGAAAGTCAAATTTTATTTTTCACTTCACATCTTCCTGCTGAAAAAAACCCTTGCAGAGCTGTTAGTTTTCTCATTCTACTGTTTCTGCTAGATAAATACCAAGTAATGCTTCTTCTTTAAGCTGCAGAGATGTGTTCTGGAAATACATGAAGACATGTGATTTTTCTGTGAATGTTTACAAGAAACAAATACAAGCTATTTGTTGCTGCAGAGAGAACTACTCTTTGAATTGCAACTGTAAATTAATAATATAGAACAAGTGAAGAAGGCTTATTAATTGTAGCCTAGTGAGGTATTTTAACAGCTCTGGGGAGAAAAAATCAAACAGATGTGCCTGTTAAAATGAACCTTTACACCTGAAAGAATTCACCAAACAGATTAAAATTGAGCAATTAAAAGATGTCATTAACTTTTGAGCAATGCAAATTGACATTTGCCTCTTTGGATTTGGAGTTTTGCTGTGATTTTTTTTTTTTAACAGGGCAGGATTGTTCTCTGGATGCCCTTAGTATGTAAATGGAGGAGGGAGTATCTCCAAAGACAGTGAATTAGTCCAGCAGAATACTGGTCTAGAATAGACTGACTTTGCAATGCTAAATCTCTATGTCAACTTAGCTCTCAGAGATGCCTCACTGAAGGCTCAGAAAAATGCTCCTACCAGCACCAGTGGAAAATGGGATTACAAAGATGTTTTTGAATAGGCCTAAATTGTTGTGGAATGGCACTGAGGCCAGGCCTATAATGAAAATCTATGGGGACGCTCCAACTCTTGTCCTGCAGTGACTATGTAAAACTTACTTAAACACCAACAGCTGTCACAACCTCTGCCCCTAGATCTGTAGCTTCATGATATTTAAAGTTGCCTGACCCCTTCCTTTGTTCCAGAAGCTTGGTGTTGCTGCAGTACTAGCCCTCTCATTCTTTCTACTCGCTTGTTCCTGACAGGGAATTGATCATCATTCAAAATAATTGGATTTTTTTTTAATTCAGATTTAACATATATCTTTATTCTCCTCTTATTCCTTGGGTTGAAAATGCTGGTTCAGGCTTTTTCTGCCAGCATGAGGCAGGGTCCAGAAGTGCAAATGAGCAGGCACTGTCAGCTCCCAGCAGCTAGTGAAGCTCTGGTAAGGCTGTAAAGCCAGGGCCCAGCTGCACTGCAATGACCTAGCTACAGAAGTGTGATACAGGCTATTTGATCTTTCCCACAATGTTACTTTACTGCATGGAGTTTTGCAGTTAGGGCAAGACATCAGTGGTCTCCTACACTGCAAGAGAAATGTGCTTAGTCTCTTGCTCTCCTGTCCAGCTTGCAGTCTAGGAGGAACTAACAGGCTAACTCTCTACCCTAGATGGAGTCCTCCTGTTCCAGCAAGTGCCCCTGGTTGAGATCGATGGGATGAAGATGGTGCAGACCAGAGCCATCCTCAGCTACATAGCAGGGAAATACAATCTCTATGGGAAAGACTTGAAGGAGAGAGCCCTGTACGTAACACTGCCTTTCCCTTAATGAGCAATCTGTTATTTGATAGCTACATTATACAAACCAAATTCTATCCTGTAAATCCAGTATAAAGGTATGAGAAAAGCTAACACAGTAAGTTTTAACAACTGCTTCTGAAATGCTCCTAAACAGAAGCAGGCTTTTATTCTTTTTAAAAAATATTTAGGTTTAGTTTGTTTTTAGTTTTGGCTGTGAAAATTGCCACTATATTGGTGGTATAAAATTCCTCTAAGTTGCCTTAGTTAATTGGAAAACAGAAAAAATAACTTCTGTGCTCTTTTCTACTGTCTTCTCCTGATCAATAGGATTGACATGTATGTGGAAGGAATATCAGATCTGATGCAAATGATTTTGATGTTTCCTTTCTCTCCACCTGATGCAAAGGAGAAAAATCTTGACTCAATTAAGGAGAGGGCAACTAACAGATACTTTCCAGTCTTTGAAAAGGTACGTGAAAACAAGGATGCGTTTTCATATATTGTATTTACAATTATAAAAAAGTTTGTTTAAAATAAGAACTTGTCTGTATTGCAGGTCAGTTCCAAATCCTCAGCTTTCTTGGCTATCTCAAAGAAGGGGAAATACAGCAGCATGTTTTCATCTATTTGTTGACTTGTGTTGTCAGGGCTGTGGTATTTGAACATCTACAAAGGAAACAAAGCAAAATGTTCTCAGCTATACAGCAAAACTTTTCACTGAAGTAAAAGCAAGCACACATAATTTTTTTTCCTTGAAGGAATAGTTCCATACTTTTACATGTTTAGAGCACATCTCTCTGCTATATTTAATTTAATTTGGAACAGTTTCATTGGAAGAATGCAAAAATCCCTTGCAAATAAATTAGGTAGAGAGATTAGGAGTACTTTAGTAAAACATAGTCATAGATTTCTGCACATCCCACTTCCAAAAACAACAAACCAAACCCATATTATTCATGCATCTGGCAACATTTCCCACTTTGGTAACATTCATCTAGTTTTGATGGAAAACAATAATAAAAGATGAACATCATAGAAGTTCTTATGACCATAATAACCTGTTCCCAAAGGCAGGGATTTTTCTTGGCTAGCTTTGTAATTCTGCATTTCTAAGTTTGCTTTCTGGTATCAACATTGGACATAACTTTAGATAAAATAAATGGCAGTTTTATAAGTTCTCTAAGTTGCTTCTTAGTTCCTCGATTATCCCTATTTCTAACTTTATGACTCTTACTAGGCTACCTAAGCATATGATTTTGTCTCTGTTCCCAGTGCCTATCATCATTCCTCGTTACTGAATGACCAGCGTTTGTAGTCTGTGTACTACAACATGAAAAGAACAAGAGTTCATTTTTTCCCCCCAACAACAGAGAATTGATTTAGGCTCACAGCTTCCAGCTGAAAACTCCACCCTGAAATTTCAGATATAATTGCTGTTCAGCTCTACAGCTGTGCCGTGAGGCTCAGCTGCTAGGCAACATATGTCCCATTCTCATCTGCAGCCCACATTCTCCTGTGTTCTCCAGGTTTTGAAACAACATGGCCAAGACTTTCTCGTGGGCAACAAATTCAGCTGGGCAGATGTTCAGCTAATTGAAGCAATTTTAGCAGTGGAGGAGAAAATTCCTGCTGTGCTGTCGGGGTTTCCTCAGTTGCAGGTAATTTTGTTATTGAGCATGCATATATTCAGGAGCTAGAGGGAAATCCTGATCATCTCCCCGTGCTGTGTAAATCATGTTTCTATGTGGTGGAATTTCTGTCTTACTCTGGTTTTCTTATTATTTTTAGGCATTTAAAACCAAAATGAGCAATATGCCTACAATTAAGAAGTTCCTGCAGCCTGGCAGCCCAAGGAAACCCCCACCAGATGACCATTACGTAGAAACTGTGTTGAAGGTTTTTAAGAGATGAAAGCCTTGCCACCTTTGGTGAGACCCAGAATACTGGAAGAAAAAAAAAAAGGCAAAACATCAACCCCAGCTCAGTAAATTAGTATTGTGGTAGTGAAAAACAGTGCTAAAAAACCAAAACAACCCCAACCAGAAATAAAGCAATCTATTGCTCTGGCAACATAACAGCAGCTTTGTCTTTATTGATATATCAAATGCTTGGCAAAATATGAAAACAAAGGAGCATGGAAGCAAAGAAGTATTTGTAATGTAGGGAATTTTTTAATTTCAAAAAAGATCAATGCAGTGTTAGTATTGTCAGAATGTAACTTGTTGGAGAAGATATTTCCTGCATGCAAATAAGCTTCAGAATAAGAGCTAAAGAAGAGAAGACTCACTGCATCACTTATCTTTTAAAGACGTAGACTTGTTTAAAGGTAACCTCTTTAAGGCTTGTGGGTGAATTGGATTTTTTAAGATATCTCTGCAATGTTTTCCTTGCAAAATTGATTATTTTTCCTCATAAATTAATTATTTCAAACCCTGTGTATGATCCTACCAGAAATTCACTTGAACAAAGTGTAATGGAAGAAACAACGCAATCTGTTTTTCAGAGCCAGGTAAGGCAGAGGTGGTTTCTTTCTACACATTTAGGACAGCACCAGAAATTCAGGTTCCATTGACTTTCAAATAAAATATGAGGGCTTACATACACTTACAGCACATGATAACAGCCTTGTGAAGAGGCCTCATGCAACAGACAAACATTTGCATGGAAGGAGACTTTGGTCCAACCAATGTTGGTAACAAAATCTGATGCTTCATATTGCCATGATGTAAGTATAGAAAAAAGAAAATTAGAAAAAAAGAAAAGAATTGGAAAATGAACCTGGGAGAGAGAAAACAGAAGAACAGCATATTCCAAAATACTTTACAAGCTCAGTGAAGGGACATCTCCAAAAATCCTGCTAAATTAGGAGACAGACGGTATTAGACTTTTTGCTTCTAGAGTTCATTACGGCCAGGCCTACAAATTATTAATCCAGCCA